TAAGCTGACTACTTGCTGCATCTGCTCCCCAGGAGTGAATTTAGTTTTGCAGTTGCAACCTTTTACCCTTCACATCCCCTGTATTTACCCATCCCAGCTCGCTGTCCTTGCTGCCACATCCCCAGGAACACAGTCACCTTCACGGCAGTACCTAAGCACGTTCAATCTCCTTTGGGATCATCAGGGGTTTCTATTTCTCTCTTTTTGGTTTCCTCTGCATACGTGGCTCTGATCACCTCCTGCAAGTCCCTCAGAACTTCCTAGGCTGCTTCTCTGCTGAGTCAAAAGATTTTTATAACACTATTTTAAATTTTCAGGCTTTTTCTATTTACTTCCTCTTTCTCTGGAATCTCCCTTTTGAATTTACTGGCACAAGACTATTTCTGGGGTCAGCTTGTATCCCTTTCCCCTTGCTCCTTTCAACCACAGGATGTAGGGCTGAATCACACTGTAGGCAAGATTATTTAATGGTCCCTCCAGGTCTCTCACTTCTATCCCCCCCAGTCTGTGAACCCCAGCACCCACAGCATCCCCCCCACACCCATGGCCCAGCCACAAAGCTGTCTCTTTGGACAGTCTCTTCCACTTTTCAGCTGAAGGGGACTGATTTTTTCTTCTGTGAATTCCCCAGTGAGAGCACAGAGGTTTACGGCCCAGCAGGTAACAAGCTGTCACATCTTGGCTTTGCTTTTAGGACCAAGCCTGGAGTAATGGCAACCATTAGCCCTTTACTATCCTTTTAAGAGATGGCTCTTTCCTAAGGACTCCACGCCCTAACCCTGCTGGGTGTAATTCAGCATGACAAAGCCTTCTCCTCCCAGGAGAGGTATCACTCCTGATTCAAAGTGCTCTTTGGTGTGAAAACTACTTTCTACCCCGGTCTAAATGCCTCAATGCAGACCCAAGGGTGGGCTCCCCTGTGTGCCCAGAGCCCCTCCAAAAAGCTGACCCTGCTATCCCTGAAAATGCCTTGCAGGAAGATAGAAAGGAGTCCAAAGAGTGCAGAGAACCAGAAATAACAATACATAGCTGAGTCTTGCATCTGGGCCTGTCTTTTGCCCATAGAGCTGTGTGAAAAGAGTTTGACCTGTGATTTTTGCCACCAAAGACTCATCACAGCTGTCCCCATGCCAGGACTGCATCCCCACCATACTCCCCATCACCCACAGCAGCAGGCTGGGAGCACACGTGACTGGCAAATTAAGGGTGCTAGCCTAGTGTCCCACACACACTCCTGAGGTTTGAGCACAAGTGCCAGGGATGCTCTGGGAAGGATACAAGAAGTTGACAGCTGCCTCCAGCAACAGAGAGCAAAGATCACGGGCACAAGAGACAACAATAGACCTTGCTGGCTCAGAGTGCACGAGGCTAGAGAGAAGTGAGGTAGCAACACAGTGAGATGCAGGGATGACAGTCTGTTTGCAAGGAAGAAGAGGAAGAAGCTTGCTTGTGCATAATTCTGCAACAGCAGTCTGTGAAGGCAGGATGTGCACTCGTGCTGCTGGTGACTGGCCTCCTCAACAGCAGCAGTGCAGGCTGGAAAAGGTCAAGAGCAGATGACTCGGGGGTCAGCCACGTGCACTGTGGTGCCCACCTTCCAGGGCCAGGTTAACTCTGGATCAAAGCTAGGTGAATATGAACTGGCTGGTCTTTAAGAGACAGGTCCCCCAGAGAGGACATGCTGTCCCTAAGGACTAAACAGCATTTGGTTATTCCCACAGCTCAGATAAGGAACACCCTGCTGAGCAAGAATACGCAGTTTCCCATCTAAGGTTTTTTATGAGGGCAGGGAGAGCTCCTTGGGGTTAGAGCAAGTGGTTTTTCCACAGAAACACAGAAAATAGGGCTGGGGAGAGTCATCAACTTCCACACAGATCAACACTCATCGTGTCACTCCAGGAACAGACTTCCTGGCTCTCCGGTCATCTGCTAGCACTTCCTCACTGCTGCAATTTTTTTTTTTCTTTTCCATTTTTTGCTGCAGTTTGAGACCAGAACATCATGTCTTATCCAGCATGAAAACAAAGGATGAATTTGTTCTTTCCTCCTTGCAGTGACCCTTGTAGACTGTCCTCAGGCCTCTCCCACCTTCTTTAGACTTACACACCACAATTCTTCCACGCTCTGCAAATTTAACAGGCCTGTGCTTGTTTCAAATAGCATTAATGAATGTATCACATAGCACCAGACCTGTGGGGTCCCGCATGCTTCTGGCAGTCATGGATGAAATCCACTCAGGCCATTTTCACAGTCTGATGATGACAATGATATGTCAGAACTATTACAGGATTTTTTTTGCAATATGGGGAGCTAGCTCATACGCATGGGACTAAGCTGTTTGTGCAATAATCACTTCTCAGAGTATAGTGCTTGCACATTTTGAATCCCCATCAAAAATTATGCCAGGTTAAACTCCAGGAAGAGAATACGAGCAAGTTCAGGCTAGTGTGGGAACATACAAATTGGTAGAGATTCCCAAGGAGCAATAGTTTCCGAGCCAGGTCTTTCCGAGCTATTGTAGAGCACATCTAAGCTGTGCGGCAGAGCAGCATTGCAGCACCATCTGCTGACTGCTGGCTGCAGGTCCACAGGTCTTCAGTCAGCTGTATGTTAGGCCTCGAACGTTCAGAGATGCCGACATCATCATCAGATAAATAGTTCGCTCTTTAGGGTGACCAATCTTGCAATTACTGATTAGAACAAGGTATCTGTGTTCTCTTCCATGCTTTGGGGGAAACCAGGGCTCACGCTTCTCATACTTTCTTCAACTGAAAGACAATCTCACATCCTCCTCAACACATCTGTAGCTGCCTGTTTTAAGAATTGGTCAATACTGCAAGTGAGCATGAGCATCAGAAGCACCAACATAAAGTTTAATTGCTGCAAATATTTATTTAGGTTTTAAGCAAACTAATGCCTGGGTGGCACTTCTCTTTGCAGTGCCCTCCCAGCAACACCCCAGTACATCTGACTTCATCTGTGGTTGTGCAAGCACTTCTCCAGCAGATCCCAGCTCCTCTTGCCCCATCTAATCTTTCAAAGACCCACACAAGTATGCAGGAACATGGTGCTGCACATGAACAATGCACAGTGAGAATACCTGCAAGCCAGCAGGTTGAGAACAGCTTGTGCAGATAGGCTTCATTTTTAAGCTGGCAGCAGTGTGACCCCGTCCTTTTCTTCATTGTGATACACAGGACCAAGTCCAAAGAAATGAATCGATCATGCATGCGGAGCATGCTTCCTCTATGCCCTATACCATGATGCAACTCAGATGACAGCAAAAGGAAGACCCAGCACATGTGGCAGAATGAAGGTACAAGCTTAATTATCTGTGGCAAGACACACAAAAAAGAGGAAACAGGAAAAGAAGAACCAGGGAAATCCCAGCACTCCTCCCCCCCCCCAAATCCAAGAATGCCATGTTCAGAGTTGTTTTGTACTGTTTTCCTCTAGGACCGTTTCCGATCTCACCACTGTCCAAGTTCTGGCCAATGCCACCTACCCAACCTTGGAACCTTGACAACATCTGCCCTCTTGTCTGACACCTCTGACAGCTTCTCCATCTCACACACAAGGCTTTTCCCAAACAGATCAGAAACTATGCACGTAATAGCCAATAGTCTGCAAACACCTCCTATCAGACAGAGCTGTGAAGAAAATTAACACACCCCCTAGACCCCCCCACCAGCCAAAGGCAGCAACCACCTCAAGGCTGAGAAAAGAGACAACAGGACACCACTGCAGATCGCCGTTATGTGCATCTTGCCATGTAACTGTCACAACTGTCATGAGCTGGCTACAGATGCTGTTCCTCACTGTGCTCTCAGTCTGTTGCAGATGTGTACAGAGGAGATTTGTGTGTTTGTTCTTAGAACTTGCCTTGCTAATGTTGTTGTAATATTGACACAACATTCAGTTCAAAGCTGCTCCTAGCAAATGGAAATTGAAGGTTTTTATTGAATGTACTTTTTTTAATCTTAGCTTTCAGAACAAGTATTTAACAACATTAACATTCATTTTACATCACATGTCCCATGCTCAACCGTGCTACTACTTTAGCTACAGCTGCATCTTGTCTGCTTCCCCAGAAGTCCTCAGACTGAAGATTTATGGTGAAACAGACACTTAAACACACACAAAACCAGAAAATGCAAGTAGGTTTTACTAATGAGGCAGACATTTTGCTGCATGCACCATGCACCTCTCCATCAGAAACAAGTCCAACTTTAGCAGACACCAATAGCATCTTTTGTCTTTGTCTAATTTGGAAGCTGTGTTGCACAGAACTGGGAAACAAGTTAATGTATGCAAAGTTTGCTGGAGCGGCAAAAGCAACAAAAGTGCTTGATCTAGTGAAAAATTGTAAAGAGAACGGAAGCTTTGCATTCCAAACAAAGGATTCCCCCAGGAACGAGAGGTATTTGAAGATGTCCACTTCTACATCTGGAATTAAAAGCTGAGATTTCTCACAGAGAAATGCAAATCAATTAAGCAAACCAAGCAATGTTTGGGGAGGAAAAGGAAAATATTTGGCAGGCAAACACTAAAATGTTGAGCAGCTCTGTGGGAGTCACGTCCCACAGACCAAAGCAAAAACATAATTAGTCCATTGCATAGGTAAAAACCAAGCTCATGTACAATGTTTTTCTCATCCCAAACATCTCCTGGACACTTGCTGCCTAGCATCCTTTCTACAAAAGTAGAGTATCACACTGATAAGTCGGTGTGTAAAAACACCTGGGGGAGAAAGGTTTAGCAAAGTATAAAGTGTTTCTTCAAAAGTGCATAAGTAGTAAACAACACTCCTCTGGGTTTGTATGTTTACCATTGTACCCAAAGACACTAGCCATTTTACACTGGCAGTTTTAGTGCTCCCAGCTTATGTTATCTGCTTGGAAGCTGAATAACACCACTAACTATAGTACCATGTCTCTTACACTGATGCCCGTCAGCAGAGCTGCGCAAGCGTCCTCGTATAGGTGCATTTTGCAGCAGCCAAAAAGATGGCCACCAGGTTCTACCAGTCTGGTAAGGAAACGAGAGGCTTCAAATGTAGATCACATCCGAGTCATGCTGCTGAACCTACAGTCAAATCAAACAGGAAAAGTTAATTTCGTCCTGAACTCCTACTTAAAGCAAAGTAACTCCCTTTGGTCCAGTTCTTCCTTTACCTCTGACTGTAACCTTTTGCAAGATGCTCTGCAATAGCTTTTTCTTCCTTCTTAAAACAGGCATATTTGCCTCACCCCTGCTATTTGGATTAGGTTAGTCTTAAAAGTTGCTTCTGTTACTTGCATTAGAAAGAGCTGCTTCCTCATCTGTTGCTACACTCAGTTGTGTTCCTTCTAGTTTAAGCACACAACCCTGAAGAGTCAGGTCTTGAATGTTATATACTAGAGCCTCTAACTGATCCTAAAAACCCTCAGTTTTGTTCATATAAACCAGCAGCAAATACATCAAGCTTTCTTTATTCCCAATACCTCACACAATTAGCATTGACTAGAGAAAGCTGATTTCCTTCCCACTGTTCAAGATCGCATGCCCTTACAGTTCTTCTTGAATGCATACTAGATTCTCCATTCTAGTGAAATTTAAAAGCAGGTTGTTTTTTCATAAGACCCAGCTCATTAGCTCTTCAGGACTCTCTGATAAGGAACACGTTGGAAGAGAACTGAACTGTTGGAAGTCTAGGCATTTATTGGTATCTTACTCCCTGCCCCTTAAAACCAGAAGGCAGGCACAGTATGTTTTAAGCTCTCTGTACTTGGGAGCATATTCTCATTTCCAAGCCTGGCTGATACAAATAAGATTTAACACAGATCCTCCTACTGCATACGGGCATCTGTTTCATTCACCAGGGCTTACAGCTTTGAATCATAAGTGAGAAAAAACAGGTGCCCTCAAGTTACAAACAGTCCCGAATGGCGTGCCATTGCAGGGTCTCGAAACTCATCCAACAGTCATGCATTGACTCGTCATTTGGGAGGCTGTGACAGAGCTGGACAAAACAGGCCCCTAAAGCCAGACATTCTTTACCTCTCTGAACTTTTAGTCAACATTTGGGAATTTACTTACAAATCTGATTACCTTTACAATCTGTTTTCTGGTTCCTGTGCCCACACTGTTGGCAACCAAGGAATTTGCTTGAAAAGATGATTTTTCCACTGGCACTGTGTGTTGAATTTTGTTGGTACAAGGCCAGCTGCTTGTAGTATTTAACGAGAAAGCAGGGAAAGGTCTTTGAAGATTTATACCCAATGAATCTCCAGGTTCGAAGGTTTTCATCCATGATGGGGTCTTTAAAAGAAAAGAACACATGGAAATTTAATGCCCTCTCTATATCAACACTCATTAAGCCAAAAAACATCAGACGCATATTCAGAAAATAAAGGCCATCTTCCCTATGATTTTTTGAAGCCTCCCTTCTCTCTCAAACTGTTGACTCAGAGCCATTTTTGCTACATGTGGAACAACCTGGAAAGACAAAGCCAGCCCTATTCTTGCACTGGTTCAGGAAGAGGCTGGAGTATTTATATAAATAACATGAAACTTACAACAAAAATCTGGGCTTAGCTCCTCACTGCCTTCAAAAAAAAATACACCAAGACTTTTATGACTTTTAGCAACCACAAAGCACGTGAAGGAGAATGTGATGCAAACTATGAGGTTAACAAATGTGATGCCCATCTACAAGAAGGGCCGGAAGGAGGATCTGGGGAACTACAGGCCTGTCAGCCTGACCTTGGTGCCGGGGAAGATTATGGAGCAGCTCATCTTGAGTGCCATCACACAGCACGTACAGGACAACCAGGTGACCAGGCCCAGTCAGCATGGGTTTATGGAAGGCAGGTCCTGCTTGACTAGCCTGATCTTCTATGACAAGGTGACCCACTTAGTGGGTGAGGGAAAGCCTGTGGGCATTGTTGACCTGGACTTTAGGAAAGCCTTGGACACTGTTTCCCACAGCATTCTCCTGGAGAAACTGGCTGCTCATGCCTTGGACAGCCATACTCTTCGCAGGGTAAAAAACTGGCTGGATGGCCGGGCCCAAAGAGTTGTGGTGAATGGAGTTCAATCCAGTTGGCAGCCGGTCACAAGTGGTGTTCCCCAGGGCTCAGTGTTGGGGCCAGTGCTGTTTCATACCTGTATCAATGATCTGGACGAGGGGATCGAGTGCGCCCTCACTAAGTTTGCAGATGACACCAAGTTGGGCAGGAGTGTTGATCTGCTCGAGGGTAGGAAGGCTCTGCAGAGGGACCTGGACAGGCTGGATCGATGGGCCGAGGCCAACTGTATGAGGTTCAACAAGGCCAAGTGCCGGGTCCTGCACTTGGGTCACAACCCCATGCAGCACTACAGGCTTGGGGAAGAGTGGCTGGAAAGCTGCCCAGCAGAGAAGGACCTGGGGGTGTTGGTCGACAGCCGGCTGAACATGAGCCGGCAGTGTGCCCAGGCGGCCAAGAAGGCCAATGGCATCCTGGCCTGTATCAGAAACAGTGTGGCCAGCAGGAGTAGGGAAGCGATCGTGCCCCTGTACTCGGCCCTGGTTAAGGCCACACCTCGAATCCTGTGTTCAGTTTTGGGCCCCTCACTACAAGAAGGACATAGGAGGCTGAGGGGAGACCTTATCGCTCTCTACAACTACCTGACAGGAGGCTGTAGCGAAGCAGGTGCTGGTCTCTTCTCCCAAGTAACAAGTGATAGGACGAGAGGAAACGGCCTCAGGTTGCACCAGGGGAGGTTTAGATTGGATATTAGGAAACATTTCTTCACCGAAAGAGTTATCGAGCACTGGAACAGGCTGCCCCGGGAAGTGGTTGAGTCACCATCCCTGGAGGTATTTAAAAGATGTGTAGACATGGCGCTTAGGGACATGGTTTAGTGGTGGACTTGGCAGTGTTAGGTTTACGGGTGGACTCCATGATCTTAAGGGTCTTTTCCAACCTAAATGATTCTATGAGGAACCACATTTAAATGTGTTAAATTACAACAATTTAGTTTGCTCCAAGACCTTAAACCGTTACTGTGATTTCATAATCTGTAAAGTAAGATGATTATTTTTTGCTTATGGTAGTAGTATCCCGCCCAAGAAAAACTTCTTAGATTTTGTTTTGACATGAATTTTCCTTGTCTGTGTTCACATTTTTAATATTTTACTATCAAGGGTACTAAAGCATGTGCCTTGAACTGAAATACAGCAACGGCCTTTGGCACACCCACACTATTCTCTTTTATGGTTTATGCTGAAAAAAGTGGCAGGTATTTAGGGTACATACATTTCCTAAAGAGCGATCCAAGGATCCCAGTACTTCATTCCAATGAGAGTAAAGCCCAGACTGTTTTTCTTCTAGTTTCAAAGCATGAATTTCAGACTTCAGTTCTTTCAGCCGATCTTCGAATTTTCTGCTCTTTTCTAAGTAGTCTAGCCTGTAGTCCACACATTGGAGACAAAAAGCTCATTGGCATGACATAGCTCAAGAACAGGTGTGTGTGGAAGGAGGAGAGAGGAAGTTCTTCGTTTCATTTTGGTATTTTGATAGGCTGACATGTGCCAGGCATCATTTTGCCTGACTCCCCTGACCCAGTGAGAAGGGGGTTCACTTCCACCCTTCAGCATTCACACACTTACTAACTTTTTACCAAGCATTTCCTTCCAGACCGAGAGGAAAAGCCTCTCGATGTATCAGATAAAAGCAATACCACACTTCAACACTAGAGGGAAACTTCTGTCCTCTAACATGCTGTTATTCCAGAAAAGTACTTTGCCCCTGACATAACGCTCTCCAAGACAGAAGGGTCCTGGACTTGTCATGGCTTGATACCACCAGAACACTTCCTCTGTGTAAGTAACTAGTCTTACACAGACATAATCCACACCAGCTCAGTAAAGGCCTCCAGCCATATGTACAAGTAAGAGGCCATCCTGAGTGTTAAAAGGATCAACTGTGATTCCCAGAGATTTTTTTTCCTTTCTGTACTTTCCATTATTAACAGTCTCATTTATTTACACCATAAGAATACTGATACCTCTCTCTCTCTATCTCAAAGGATAGTCTCTTGAGGTCAATGTCCTTCAAATCCAGCTTTATAGATCCTTTGTCAAAGTTGGCATCTCTGGTGTCAGTTGGTGAGTACTGTGGGTACTTGACCATGTGCTGAAAGAGGCAACACAAGCAGTCAGTAAGATCTGATTGTTTGATTTTGGGTTTATCTCCCCAGTTTCTGCAAGAATGCCATGCTGAGCCATTTCATAAAGTTACCCATGGATTCTGAGACACATAGATGCTCCTGCAGCCCTTCACCTCTACCTGAGTGGTCCCAGATGAACTGCTGAAGCCCACAACCCACAGATCCAAGGGCAGAGTAGTATCCTGGCTGCAATGTTCCTCTCTATTTCAGCAGAGAATGGAAATCCATTCTCAGCAAGACGAGCAGAAGAGGGAGTTGCAGCACACAGCCTTAGCACTGCCTTCTTGCTGGAGACAGCTTCATCTGCTTTGCCTAAAGACACTTAGGGGGAAATTCACATGCCAGGACAACATAGCTGGCTCAGTACAACCACCTCCACAAATTATTGCCTGACTGAGATGGCACAGAGACAATATTAGGCATGAATGCAGGCAAGACAATCTCTGCTCACTAAGTCCCAACACCAGTCCTGTTTTTTTACTTTTGTCTCGCCTTTCTTATCATCCTGACTCACTGCCCAGAACAAATACAACTGCCATCCTAGATACACTGTGTTTAAGCACCAATTGGTCCTATAGGTGTTTGTCCCCCAGCTGGATGCAGACATGCCACTACTCAGCTTGATGGGGGCCATAAAAATGCAATCAACATCTGACTATCTCTGAAGATGAAGTGGTGCCCAGTAGAGCAGAAACTTACAGGATAATTAAGCCTGGTTATGTCTAAGAGTTTCTGCTTTGCTTTCCGTTCAGCCTCTCTGGCTTCATGCAGATCTTGTTTCAGATGCTCTGCTTCCTTGGCTCTGTAAGACAAATATCCTGACATGAATGGCTGATGATTTCCAGTATAGAGCAACACATGGATTTCAGAGCTATGTACCTCACTAGCTTCCAGAGAACAAGATCCGTTACTGTGGGTGATTCCTTTACTCAGACACTTGTGGTAGGATGGTCACATGGAGAACTAACTGGACACAGCATGACATGTGCTTTCAAAGACAATCCTGCACAAACTGGCTGAATTAACATGTTTTTCCCGCTCCTAATTTCCATGGGCTCAGTTATGACCCACTGATGCAGATTCTCCAGGCTGTCAGAGATCCTCCCTGAGGTGAGGAGAGGTGCAACATACCTGCTCTTTATTTTGGCAAGCTTTTTGGCAGTACCCTAAAACAAGCAGAAGGCCCTTAATAGCAAGGTTAAACATCCTCTGTCAACACTGGTCTGCTCTGCATCTTCAGGCAGCACAGTGTTATGGAACATGCAAACACTTAAGAGTGGTTTATATTCCACATGAGTTTACCTGGTTTACACTTCTCAAAGATCTGAAAGGGATACAAGAGACCATCGCTTGGTACTAATGAATGATAACAGCCTCATAACTCACAGGGTATACAGATTGGTAAATTTAGATAGCTAGGTAGCCAGTGCTCTTTTGATAATACTAAATAGAAAATGCTTCTGCATTCTGGATCTTTAATACTAAACATCTAAAACCTGACATCTGATCCTCTGTAAACTTCTTGACCTGCTTCACAACATCGGTACCAAGTGGAACAAATAAGATGCAAGAAGGCTTAGTCACTCTGAAGTGTTGCTTTGGGAACAGTTCCTCCCTCCCGGGCTTAGCTCGGAGAAAAACAGCACTCTCTCAGGCATCCCAGTAGAGACCACACAACCCCACTCAAGCAAATCTAACCTCCGGTCAGACTCCTTCACCAGCTTCACTGCTATCAGCTCTGCCTCCCGCATCTTTTGCTCCATGAGGCGTTTCTCCTCCTTGGTTTTCAGAGCTGTGATCTCCAGCCTCTGTCGCTCTTGCTCAGCTTCTGCAGCATTCTGGGCCAGCAATTTTGCCTCTTCTTCTGCAATCTGAGCTTTCTCAGCCAGCAACTCTGCTGCTTCCTGGGATCGGAGCTAAGAAGAAACAATTTTTCTTAGTTACCCTGTCTAGCATCTACAAAATCATCCCTGCAGACAGTCAGGAAGAGGATGTATTTTCCCAAAAGATGCAGCGATAAAAATATTATTCCTTAAAATAAAAAGAATAGTAAACATAATTGTAGGATCTGATGTTCCTCCTCTGCTGAAGTGCCTAACTTCCTTCTCCTGCCTCTCACCTCTACAAAGCAAGGAGAGACATTTGCTTAGAGTTGCACAAAGACATCAACCAAAAATTGAGGTTAGCCCCTTCATTTGCCAGTGCATCATGCCCCTTTCTCCCAATTTCAGCTCCAAGGTTGCTTCCTTTCTTCCCTCTTTGCCTGAAGAAAGCACTGTGAACCAAATACAGGGAGAAAATGGCTCACAGTAAATGGAGATTATGGCAGATCAGAGTTTTCCCAGGTATTTCAGCACACCCTCTCCACCAGTGGTCAGAAACTCTCCAGCCTTGTCTGAGCCATAATTCCTGGTGTCTCACAGGAGCCATAAGAAAAAAAAAAATGCTTCCAAACCAAGAAAGCTCGTCAAGCACAAGAATATTCAGACTGATGTGCTACTCACCAGGGCCTCATTGGCCTGCCTGGCTTCATCTTCCAACTGGAAAAGACGCCTTTCCAGCTCTTCTTTGGCTCGCTCAGCTTCTTCTCGGAGCTGCTTCTCCCTGGCCAGCCTTTGATTCTCCATCTGGAAATAGAATGAGCAATACCACATTTGTGGGTTTGCAGCAGAATCTCATCTGGGCCTGAGGCAGCACAGCAAATGAATCTAATGAAGAACGGACTGCTCTCTAGCTGGTGGACTGATACTCACCAGAGATGCAATGCTGAAGCTGCTTGCACTTTGCAGCACTGAACTCCTCTAACAGGTAATACTGGTTATTTCAGACTGCTGAAAGAGCACTTGGATCAAGCTGTTATGTACCCCAAATCTTTGCGATCACCTATGCAGTTTCACAAGCATCACTTACATCCTCAGATGCTGCATACACGCTAGAGCTGTTCCCACATTAAATCCTGCTGCACTTTCTCACCTGCCACACACATATTGATGCAATGCATGGACAGCAAGGGCACCAGCTGGAATAATAATCAGTGTTTTCAACAATAGAGGAGCAGAAAGAATCTACCTTTTTTCTAGCTTTTTCCTCCCTGGCTTGTGCTTTCATTTGCTGGATTTCTATTGAGTCCACTTTTCTTCTCCTCATAAATAGGTCGTGGTTTCCAATGCACAACTGCAAAATCTGGATAGGAAAAGCAAAGCAAATGTGATTTTTATGTACTTGTGCCCCAGCCAGAGGGACAAAGAGCCCCACATTGGCCTCACAGGACAGAAGCTGACAATTCTGACTTCAGCACAAGTATTGGCAGTCGTTTCCCTTCCAAGAAAATCAGCACCCAGGGCAGGCTCATACCCAGATACATAATAGTTTAGAAAAGTTCGTAACAGGATGAGGGGTTCCTCCTGTCCTTCATCCCCCTCTGGTTCCATTTTCCTAAATAAGAACAGGCAATAGATCTAGGCCAAGAGTACACAAGATGTAGCTGTGGGAATGAATGGTCACCTGTGATGGCCCCTCCACAAGCTCATTGAGAAGTGACCCAGCCCCTGTGGTTGTGTTAAGAAGCAATCAATGATGATACAACTAGCCATTTGATTAGGTCCCTTCCTTGTTGCTTCTCCCAGAAAAGGAGAGGCAGTAGCTGATTAAGAACCCACAGCAGCCAGATAGGCAGATGCTGCAGTGGCTTTGCACCTTTCCATACACTACATCCTCCCCTTCCAGCATCTGGATTTCCCTTTGTGATTTGGGCCTTCTTTCATATCTCACTTTCCACCCATCATCTCCCCTTCCCAGAGAGGACAAACGTAGGCACCCTCACTTCCCGGATAGAACAATCCTCAGGAAAACACATGCTGAAACTCAGTGATCCCTGGCCTCTCCACAGGTTTTACAGCGTTTCTCACTCAGATATCAGTCAGTATTACCAGGCTGTTTTAAAGAAGGAAAGCAGGACACTTACCAATTTGTTCACTTTGAGTTGAGAGGAAAAGAACTTGAAGACTTCTGCTTTTTTGTCAAGAGGTTTAATAGTTAACTATACAGGCAAAAGAAAAAAGGAAACAGTGAGAAGGAAGAAAAACAAAGCTGAAACTATTAATACTAATGCAAACTTTAGCCTATCTCCACTTCTCTCCAGGGAAGCAGTGATTTATGCGACAAACATGGGGAGAGTGATGCAAAAATGTTTTGCTCAAAAGAATCAGAACCAGGGCTGCTGTTACACAGGTTCCTCATCTGCTCCCGTAGCAGACTGTTAGAAGATAAAGCCTCCCACAGACCCACCCCAGTGCCAGTTTGGATGGTGGTTTTCATAATACCACCACCTATGCATTGCAAACTATCCTAAGAACACTGGAACAAGCACTGGTTATCAGGAGAACAGAATACATCACAAATCCCCAGAAGTAGTCATATTCTTAAAGTCAGGGAGATGTCAAACACCTCTCTGAACACCAATCATTGCAGGCGTAAACAAAACATATCAAGGGCCTGAAGGACCTGTTCTTCTACCATCAGATAACAGTCCTGGAGCTCCTGCTTTCTCACATTTTCAGTCCTATCTCCCAAGCTGTTTCCAGAGGACATGAAGGGCTTTCATGCTGCCAGGTCAGTACACACTGTTTCACTTCATATGTTGTGCTCGGTTTGGCTGCATAACAAAATATGGCTCCATTCTTTAAGATCCTGTTTTCTGTGACTCATGGGTTAGCTAGCACTCTATTCCTATAATTCATTTGCAATGCAATGTATAATTTCAGGCCATCTGAGTCACCAAGATCATAATGTGCTAGAGTTCATTTCACCCCGTAGGTAACAACTGGTTGAATGTGTTGCCTTGTGAGGAGCAGGGCTGTGAATGTGTCACTGAATATAGTGCAGCTTTAGTATAGGGCTGCCCAATTTCCCAACAACAGGGAGTTAAAGCAGTTTATCCACAGACCAGAGGAGAAGTTTAATGTCATGCAAGGACCGAACACTTTTTGGAGGCAGAACTGCAGGCTGCCCTGCCTGATTTAACATATGCACATCTAACTCTGGACAGCAAATCGCATCCTCAATGTTTTTCAGAAGGCCCACAGAAAATGGAACAGGCTGTGCTGTCCTTTGGCTGACAAATTCCAGGTATTCCAGTACCAATGTAGTTTTTCTGATTTTGTTTTTCTGATTATAGCCTTCATGTAGCCACATGATTTGTAAGGAGACTAAATTTCACCCACTCCCCACTGTACCTTCTACAAGTGAAAGATGGGCTCTGAAATCACAGTGAAATTGCAATGGTAGGGTTGTGCTGAAGACTGAAATCATGCACTGACGAACTGGCAGAATTCAAGCAGAAAAACATGTACATCTCTCTGCATGTCTCCTCTTGCCAGTGTGCTTCAAACCTCATCTACAAGGACAGCTTCTGCATATGAAAATGGCATTAAGTCTTTACAGATCATCTAATTCCTGCTGAGATAACTGAAGAAGCTAGTCACGGTGGCATTCATAATATCTATCTTTTTCAGAGATCAACACACTTGTTTTGCAAAGGACAAGCAGCAGGGAAGGAACCAGAACAGTGGGCTCCACAAGTTTGGAGAGCTCAGAGCAGCCTCTGGCTCCTAGGGGAACTGAGGTTATGCAGCACATCTGAAAGGCAGGTCTGTTATTTATAGTTTTGTAACAAAGCTCCCTAGGATTTTCCCCTTCTCCCCCAAATTATTTAAACAGAGACAGCTTTCAGCCTGTTCCAAGAATCCCAGTCCACACCCATGCCCATATAAAAAGAATAATATATCAAAGCCATCATACCTCTTTCTCACTATAGGAAATGTTTCTGATAGCACTCCACTCAAACGACTTATTTGGAGAGAACCTGTTATTAATGCTGTAGATATGAATACCTTTGGCATCAACTCCAAGTAGGAGATCTGTATGGTTTTTATTTTGCTAAAAAACAACAGATATCAGTAAATGCCATTTATGGTGACATTAAACAACCACAGACAAGAACCACACTTATTCTAATACATTGGTATTTATCTGTATTTTTAGGAAATTGATGTTTCCACAAAATATTATGAATGTTGTCACTGCTAGCTAATAAATCCAGTCCTCTAGGTTGACTGTAACAGCTCAAACTTTCAGTCTATTTCTCCTTCTTCCTATTACATACCCAGAGCTACTCCAGACCTTCGTCAGATTGTAAAACATTAATCTTAACCGGTTTATTTATCTACGCATTTAGCAGGCAAGTAAACCAAGTCAGGACAATCAGTACACAGCCCACCATCAGCAGAGATAAGCAGAAGTCAGGAGTCCCAGTTCCAAACTCCTTGGAGGATTTTAAAAGGACAGTACCATCATCTACAGCAATTGAAAACTACTAAAATAAAGCACTTACAGCAATTGGAAAATAATTGACACCGTACATTTCCAAGTCTTGGGCAATTTTCAGGTAGTTCATCTCAGCTTCATCCCTAGAGAATAAGGCCATGATTATACTTGGAGATTCCTTTCCAACCTTTCTCTCCTAGCTGACTACATTTTCCACTTAGAAAAGAACAGGCAATCTGGTCCTTTGTACTTTCTTTAATTTTGCCATCTTACTCTCAACAATAGAAAAAGGATAATAAAAACAGCATCTCTACAGAATAAAGACAGTAAAGCTGTACCTATTTTGAATCATGTATAGTGTAATCTTTATTAAAATTCAAGTCCAGTCTTATCCTTGTGTTAGTTTTGCCACTCCATCATTATTATGTCTTGAAGACTTACCCTACCATTGTTTTCCATGACATCAGGATATTTCCTTCAGGAAATAGAGTTCCTTGAAAAATGAATCCTGAACAAATTCTAAACAGACCTTTGGGCAGAGGCCAAAGAAGGGTGAGAATCTCTCCACCCATCTTTCTTCTCCCTTCAAGGTGAGGCATCAATAAGTTTTGAGAAGAATATTCAGTAAAAATAGTGCTAAGAAGCATCTAGAACAGCCAAAGAGAAACTGAACTGAAATACTAGGAAAGGCTGCCTCTGGGTGCCAACAGCTCCTACTTCTTGTTTAATTGAATTTCCAGGCATGCTGAATGTCTACATGGACTAGCACCAAAACTCAGTCCTGGAACTATGATGCTGTGTCTTTACTGTTTTGGTTCCTTGCTAAGTATGCTGACACCCTTTTGAGCCATGATTTTCAGAAGGTATAAAATATATCAGATTCATTCTTTTTATTCTAGGGGGAGACTGGTGTGATATGGCTCCAGAAGGGCAGCTGTTGCATAGGGCAGACACACCAGCAACTCCAGGTAGCTAACAGCCTTAAATGAAAAGGCTAACTCTCAGGGCTAACTGCAAATTCAACACAACGCAAACTTTTTGCAGGAACTTCTCTCTGCTGGCATACATGGACTCTGATGAGACAGGACTCCTGTTTTAGATATGTTAGGTCATGAAGCTCTGCAAGAGCTCTCAGCTTCTCAGTTCACTTCAAAGCAAGTCCAGTTTACAAGCACTTGGAGCCCTACACGAGACACTTTTTACCCCAGATGGGTGTTTTTATCCTTAGTTATAAATTAATCTATTAACATCACAGCTTGGAAACCGGTATTTCTTTGCTCACTCTACAAAAGCCAAATTTCACGGAAGACAGCAAATAACCAGTTACTGAAATGTATGGAATTTCCAGAGAATGAAATGATTTCAATACCTGGCGATACCCCTGTGCTCAGCATACCAAGCAGTAATCTTTTCTTCCCACATCTCTGCTGTCAGCTGATACTGCCTGAGGACCTACAGAGAAAGGAAGGAGTTTGGTTTCCTTTGAAGATACAAATACATGTGCTGCCTCTCCCAAGCAACGTGAATGCAGCAATGCAGTTCGCAGCTCGGTCATTTTGCCAAGTTCAGGGCAGACACAAACAGTTTCTAATGCTCCGATTAATCCCACAGCAGTATCTGTGCTGCAAAGAGTAGATTCAAAGATTTAGTTTTATACAGAATAAAGACTTACCCTTTTGGGTAGAAGTTCATCATGGGCTAGAAAGCCTGGCTCATGAAAATTTGGGTCGTAGTCACCATACTGTCCCAAGAAAAGAAAAGATACTTTAGTTTGTTAGATGCAGAATGCTGAAGAACTTGTTGCTTCCGTAGTTTGACGTGATCTCTTGAGACAGATCCTGTTTAGGTTCTCCTGTATACAGGGTAACACATAATAAACAGGCTCCCCTCATCTGAACTGTCTGTGGAAGTTACTTCCAGCCTTTGTGCTACACACATGGCTCCAATACAGCCACTAAGGTGGCCTATAACCTTAGACTTCAGTCCTAGCCTGCAGCTCTCGGTAACTGCAGGTATGAAGGAATCTCCCATGACTTCATACCCTTCTCTGAACTACAGGCTACATTCAGGAGTGTAAGCTCCGCTACTCCTATAGCCTACTGCATATAGGCTGGGCTGCTGCAGAGAGCCCATTGTATAAGTTTGGCTCTTGGTGGCATGAAGTGAACTATGTTCTGAGAGATACTAAAAAACATCATGTCCTTCCATTGTGAGCCCTGGTATCAGCACCTGCTGTATCCATGAACATTTTTTAAAACAGGAAATAATTCTAGCTGGGAGAAAGATTACATTAAAATGTTAGGTCCAAAGAAATCCCCCTAAGTTGTGAAAGCATAGCACATAATACCAAAATCCTTGTAGTGGCATCTAATGCTTATTTTTCTAGCTGCACCTGTACCTCCCAGGATGACCTACTTCTTTAATAGCAAATTTTAACACTGCTGTGTTTTGCATACCACCATGTATGTGTCTTGGTTAAAAAAGAAAAAATTCAATTAAAAAAAGCGCTTCTATGCACAAACCTTGGCCTGAACAGCATAAGAAGCCAGTAAAACTGTTGCTTCTGGAGAACAATAGATTTCCTCATCCAGTATTTGTTTCTTAACCTAAATCAAGAGAAAAAGGAAGCAAGTTAAAGAAGCTCAAAGTCAGGACTTATGTCAGGCTTGAAATGAAGCTAGACATGCCCGGACTGTAACTTAGCACCAAACATCACCATTATGAGTTAATAACAGCAACAATAAAATGGCATTCAGAAACACAGGAAGCCTTTACTTAGCATTACATTTAATGAAAAAAACCCAACTTTTGAAAGTGTTTTAATTCTAAGTTCATAGAAATGCCAGTTGGCTATCTCCACACATTTATGTAAGGAGTCCTGAAAAAGAATGTGTTATAAAACATGAATTTTATTGTCTGCGCTTCATTCCTTTTAACAATTCTTCTTTTTTTTCCTGCTTCGGAAAAGTTAGCTTTACAACATGTAAAACATCAAATTTAGGTTGGAAGGGACCTCTGGAGGTCATCTAGTCAAAGCAGGTACAACTAGACCAGATTGCTCAGAGCTGTCCAGTTGACTAATATTGCCAAGGACAGAGACATACTGAAAACCACAACAGTATGTTCTCAAGCTTTCCAGAATGACGGAATAAAGGAGACCCCACAAAGGGAAGCTGACTAACAGAGCATTTAGTTTATTCAATTACAGTGGTCTAAGCACAACAAAAACATAGGGGCTTAAAAATGAAAGCCCAGTATAAATGGTGGAGAGTCTTTTAACATTCTTTTCATTTTAATAATCTATGGTGCTACCAAGATCAGAGGTGTAATAGTTTGTAAGATGTTGCTTCATTTTAAATCAGTTGGGTAATTTTTACTTGAAAACCTAAAGAGGAAAGGGGAAATTAATCTTCACAAATCCTCCTCTCAAGTGTAATGTATTTAGCCTACTAACAAGCACAAGACAAGAAAATTTTGCATAATGCACAGTCTTAAACATTTCCAAAAAGAAAAATTACTTGAGATAGCTCTGAGCTATCTTTACAAATACACTTCGGCACTGTAGGTACTGTGAACTGAAATGAACCATCAAGAAAGTTTTTCCTTTTAAATTTAGTCTCTGGTGAGCACAATATATGAACCCAAGTTATAGTACAGGGAAAATTCTTGCTAAGCTGTTAAAATGGAAAGAATGAAAAGACTGAAAAGACTTTTCTTCCAAATTGGAAAGCTTCAGCTTTCATGTTCCATCATGCAAATCATACATTTCAGAACTTAGAACCACTTAAGCTAAATCCTCCATAAGTGTCTGGGGATTTTTTCTGATCAGTTCTTACAAGGACATTTATGAATGAGCAAATTACCTAATCTTTACACAGACAACATTTAGCTTTAGTTGTTTACATTTATTCACGCATTTTGCAAAAAGCTATTATGCCACATTAATTTGTAAAGATCTGAATAGTCAGTGGAGCTGCAATCTGTACGCATCCAGATGTCTGTACATGTTTTTCCTATTAGCATCCAGGTGTGATCTTAAGTTCTTATAGTCAGGAAACTTTGCAAGTTCAAATTTGTTTCAGTCTTGTTTTTCTACTTTGGAATGAGAAGAATTTGCTAATTGCCTATCTGCTAGTCAAGGCAGGTTCAAGGAGAAAAGAAAAAAGTGAAAAAAATCAGGATTAAAAGACTAGGAAAAGAGTTCTGCCCCTCTCATTCCTTTCCAAAATTAGCTTAAGAAACAAATTGCCAAGTGATTAAGGGTTCTGGATGAGTTCTAGTTAGTATATTAACCCTCGGAACAACAGCATTTTCCCATTACTTCATTAACACATCCTCCTCAGGGAACAAGTGTATTTACTGTGTTTATTTACAGATGCAGACTGAATTTATTCCATACACCCAATCTACTTGCACAGACACATACTGCTGAAAGCTACCAGAATAAAGCAACACATCAGAAGGCTGTAATTTGCAGAGGACTCCACAGCAACTCAGGAGAGAAGCTGGATGTCACAGACATTGGAACAAACAGCTGACCAACAAGTGACCATCTAAAAGTCAATGCTTGTATACCTATTGCTACAGCTACAGCCTGTTGCTGCAGCTATGGAGCCACAGCATGGCTTTTCCTGGTTGATGCATCTGTGTTTTGATAACAAAGCATTGTACTCCAAGAATTTGCTCCTTCATCTACTTTTTAATGGAGCTAAGAGAACCCTAAATTTCTGGGACAAAAGAAAACCAAATGGCAAACAAGAAAGCTGCCTCTGCAAAGCTACTAGCATCAATGCATGTGTGGGGTATTACTTTTACTGGCTTCCATCTCGCAGAAATTTGTAATTTGTAAGAAGCACCACAGTGTACAGTCCAAGCTGTGTTCACATAGCTAACAACTCTGCTCTTGAGCACAGTACTGTTGTCCTGCAGCTCATCAGTAGCTGCCCCTATGGCAGAGCTGAAATGGGTTCCGTTATCTGTAATGAAGATTTGTCAGGGCTGGAGATTTATTCTGCTAGTGTGAGTAGCAGGCACCCAGTTCAATGGGGTAGGGAAGACAACCCAAACTGGCTAATTTGACTGGCAGAAGCCAGCATGTGCAAGTCTGGACATTTCAGAAGAACACCAACACCATACCAAGGGAACAGCACTTCTCATCCAGGGCCTATCAGACAAATATGATGATGCCTCCAGACTTTGTCTTTAAAAGGATCACACATTGTGGTGAATCTTCTGTTTGAGTCGTAGCTGTGTATGCTGCTCCACTCCTTTTCAAACTTGCTAGATGAACAAACCTGTATTTCAGAATGGCTATCAAATTCTACGATCTTTTTTCCCTACAATCCAAAATGAAGATTTAAGAAGGACACGTTAGGGAGTTCTTGTTTTCTACTAATTGTGCCTTCTATAGTCATATACAACAAGATCTCCCAGTAACCACCTGGTCTATTTTTAGGAACTTCTAAGTTTTAGTTTCAGGGATAGGCTGTAGTCACAGGTCTTGTTCCATCTGCAGCTTATATGGGTGAAAAAGCTTATTGTCCCCAACTGCCGATCACCATTCCTTCCCTCTTCACCTTCACAACTACCACCGTAATTGCTTGTGTAGTCACTCTCCCACACAGTGCGTACATCTAATAACAGGTCTCTTCTGATTCTGCCCATTTTGGAAGAACTAGGTTAGGGAATGGTTACACAAGAGGTTACACCAGCAGGTCTAAGATGATGATGACAAGGAGCTGTTGAGACTCTCTTAGCTACAGCCAGAGCAGACCTCAAAAACTTCTGAAGCTGATAAAAACAACGGCTTCACTTCATTCTTCTCAGCACTGACCAGTTAGGGCAAAAGTCTCGCAGTTCTTCAAGCAGTGCCAGCCTTGCATGGATTTTTTTTTAAACACATACTATAGGAGCAAAACAAGTCTGGAATATCCAGATGTGGAATTATCACCCAAACTGCTAGGTGTAAAAGTCATTTTACATAAGACTACAGGTCTCAGCAATTTAACTCCCATTCCTAGCACAAATAGTAAGAGAAGCCATCAAGAGGAAAAAAACCCACAGAAGGCAAACGACATTCAGCTTACCAATACACAAAACCACAGCAGTCAGGAGAGATGTTTGTATTTCATAAAAATGAGATCTTTACAGAGACACTGATACAGCTGAAGCCAGCAGAATCATTCTGAGACTGACAGCTGCCAACAAGATCAAAGACAGTACAAAAGGACTGGGGTAAATACGGAAGGAATTCATAGTTAAAAACTGTTCCTGACCTGAAGGAAGAATAAATGTTGGGTAATTTCCTGTAATAGTTCCTCTTCTACCTTCTCTGGGTAGAATTTAGCCAGAAAATGAAAGCTAATGGGATCTTCTTTGGGGATTTCTTGATCTAAAACCTGTTTAAAGATAAATAAAATCAGCAGCAAAAATAGTACATAAGTGTCCCAAAATAATATTCCAGAGGAAAAATCAGAAAGCAGATGATAATCCATTTAAAGCAGCCTTTCCATATATTAGAAGGAAGGGCAATGCTGAGCTTTAATCTAACAGCAATCAGTGCGTATAGTGGTGATTGGTGTGTGATACTTCAGGCCAAATGTGATAGAAGCAATCAGACCAAATAACACAATGAACTTTAGCCTTAAAAAAATAATACCATCTAAAATTATGAGTTGTCATGTAACACATTCCTTTAGCTCCCGTGCTAAAAAAGTAAATCTTTTTATATGTAGAAAATTGCCACGCTGTTATTTTGTTTCCTATACCTTTTTGTCCATCTTTAACCAGGTGCACATTCCTTTTATTGTGTACTGCAAGCCAAAAAACCAAGTCTCCCTTAAACCAAGTGCTCGGCACACCAGATCAAACAAGTCCTTTCCCTTCCACTTCATCTAAAAGAAAAAGAAAATTAAGAAAAACAGGTATATATTGAATGAATTTCCTATTTTTAGTCAAGCAAACCAGGCTACCATTTGCCTTTCTCCTATGAACTCTTATTTCACCTTTAGCTTTTCAATGAAATATGCCTACTGCTGTCTACAGCAAAGGTGCAATAGTTATAATGCTTTACCTCCTCTTCCTCTTCTCCAGAGAAACATTTACAGAGCAGCTGTAGTCATTTAACCACAGCATCATGCACTTTATGAGCTCAGGGAATGAGGACTGTACTGTTGATTTCCTAGTACACGGCAAGGCTTTATTAATATTTGTAAAAATCTTATTCAATAGTTTATACAAATTGGAGAGACTGAGAGATGGCCAGGGAAATCAAAGGAGTGTCAGGGCACAGTGTAGAAATGCCAATCAAAGCAAATCCATCTTTCACATACCTCAGCTATTTCAGTAGCACCAAGCCAAGCCTTTATGCTACTCTGATTTAAATGAACAGGAGTAAATCTACTTCTAGAGTAATTTACTAGCCTGGCTCCATAGAGAACAGAAACTTTGATTAAAGATCCCGAAATTCACACACACGACATCACATTTTTTCACTGCAGACGCAGCACATCTTTCTTCTGTTTGGCTACATATTAAAAAGATTATTTTGTCTAATTGCATGGGTCAGCCACTAAAAACTTAATGGCAAACAAAAGAACTTTGGGGCAATATTTGGATGGAAATCATCTCAGCAAAAGCATAATATTTGGGGAGAAAGAGATAGCAAAGGAAGGAATACATCAAGCTGGATTTGATAACAAGGACTCTAATCTCTAAATCAAATTTTCCAAATCCTTTATTTTCACAACTCTGCCTGCAAGTATTCTAGACCAGTAAGTAACAGAAGTGCACTGCTTGTGACTAATCTATTCTGAGGGACCTAGTAAATGAAATACGACATGCCCCACAAGACAGTCAAGTCTCTCATTTGAATTGCCAGTCCCATTGGACCTCAGTTTTCTAACTCCTCTTCTGAAAATAACTGCATGTCTTTCTTTGCTTTTGCTGGATGATTAGGAATTAATCATGCACAGTTCTGTCTCCTCGATAGTGCAGCCCAATTCATTTAGCAATTGATCACTTGCTATATTTGTTTTCTTCCATAGTTTTCTGCAGTCACAATTTCTCTATCCAATTTACTAGATAGCCATAACTAATAGAAGAAAAGCTGGCTTTTCCATCTGATCATTTTTCTCTTCTGCCCAGAGATGTAAACCAGCCATTGTAGCTAAAGAAATAAACTGGAGTTTACAAATGGCAAATTGCATTTGAAGAGAATGTCCCAGATCAACTGAGCCCAAAAGTACCATTTTATAAATTATTTTGTAAGTAACATCTTAGGAACAGCTCTGACCAGACTTCTTTATCCAAGCCAGCAGTGTCTTAAAGAGCCGTGTCACTTACAAAAAGATAATTTTGCGGAGAAGTAGGTATACTTACAAACAAGCCCTGCATCATGTGCTGGAACGCTTATGAAGAAAGCAGGCCTACTGCTAATTTAGCAGTGTCACAGTCAAATGGATTTAATGGAAACAGCTTTAAATTCTGAATAGTCAGAGTTGTTTAACAGAAGAATGCATCTGAGCATAAGTAGTCCATTGTTTATAAAAATAATAATCAGTTTTAAGACCATCCATGAACTGATAATCTGAACTTTTCAAATTTATGTCTTGCTAATACAAAGGTCAGTCTCCATCTTTCTAGCCATCTGCTGAGGACTCTTACCTCACAGCTGAACTCCATTTCAGCATCCACTGTTATAATTTTGACTTTAAAAGTCTTCGGTTGTTTCTTCTTCAGGCCTCGGATGGACATATTTTTTAGTTTATGAGGATAGCCACACCTGAAATCAAACATGCGATATGTTTAGGACTGGAAATTCAGTAACATTTTCTTGGCTAGATTCCAAAGTAGGATGAGTCCAAACTTGCAGAATAAAGTCACCTTTAAATATGCATTTCTGTGTCCAAGACAGAAAATAATATAAGAATATAAGAATATAATATAAAATATAAGAAAGGATGTTGAAACAAAATATTTAGTTTGCTCCTTAAAAATCAATTGCTCCAAAATGTCATTCCTGTCTTTCCTCTCAGACTTTGACAAACACTGGGTTCCTACAGTACTAGAAAGAACTTCATTCAGACCTTACATTGCAAGATCCAGGGGCCTGCCTCTCTCTACAGCTGAGGACATCTAGGGAACCTCCAGTCCAGCCCTCGTGCTCCATACAATCACCTGCATCCATGCAATTCAGTAGTCTCTTGCAACGAAACTCTGCAATGGATGAATGTTTACAGTTTCATAAAAGTAATACCTGGCTTTTGAATAATGCCAACAGAAATATGACATTCCTCATCCCTTTTACATATGCAAGCAAAATTCCCTTTCTCTGTAAAGGTCTCTGCAGTTATGTACCAACACCAAATGCATCAGTGGAGGCTTCACTTGTAAAACACAGTAGAGAGTAGAGAGCTACATCACGCAGCAAAGCCTTATGATATCAAATCCAACTCAATTCTTTTCCATCAGTTATGGCTCCTTGAGCAACTAACCGATTGAGTTTGTTTACAAAATTACATCTTAACTCCCTGAAATGATACAAATGCCAAAAATATGCAGTAAAATTAAGCTGAATTTACCCTGTTCTCTTGGGCACACTAACTCACAATGATGAAAGCTATTTAGAACACAAATTTTTCCAATGGAGTTCTTGTGAAGTGAAATGAATTTAATTTTGCAGAAGCCTACAGAAAATTCCTTCACAAATCTTCTATTCTAAATGCGATTGACTGCATGCCATCAAGAAAACTGATGAGACATGCTATTTCCACAGCCACGAGGGTTTTGTGGATACCATTCAAACCAAATGTTGAAAGTTGGGGTTAAATGATAGTGCGAATCTGCACTATGCAGTTCTCATGTTTATTTCCGAGCACAGGAAATCAGCCTGTAAAGTTTTCTTCTTGTTTTTACTTTATAAAATTAATAGCTCAGACTTGCAAAACCTAGTTACTATCTGTGAACTATATAGGTCAAGAAGAGACTGAGGCATTCTTGGTTTCCTACAATATAAAACTATTACAGTGTGGCAGACTTCCAATCTCTCCTTAAAGAATTCCAAAATAAAGTTCTAGTTTAAACTGAGAAGTTCAATTTGTCTGTTACCTTCCAGGATTTTATAAAATATCTTGTCCCCTTCTCTGCTTTTGCTGAGCTCTAAATTGGCTTGCAAATGTACTGATTATTTTCCACTTACTTCGTATCTGCCCCTCATCCAAAAACTTCAAGTAGCTAAATAGGAGGTAAAATGTATATGGAAGTTTTTCTTTTCAATTGTAGAGAAGTTGAGGCAGAGAACAGACAAGTTAGTTACCAAATCATATGGACATCAGTGGCAGAGTTGAGAACAAGTACTTGAGACAACTCAGAGTGGGGAAGAAAAGCTCAGGAGGAAATTCATCTTTCTGACGCCACTGAGACTAGTTGAGGAGTCCTCTCCCTCCAGTTGGCTCTGGTGAAGCTTCTGCTGAAGTCTTGTTCAGTTTGGGGCAACACACTTCAGGAAAGATAATGGGCTAACTGGAGAGAATCCAAAGGAGAGATCCAAGGGCTAGAAAATAATCTGTGGTGAAATGAAAGTACTGGTTAGTACAGAGAAGGGACAAGTGTGGCGAGACATTATAATGTCTGCTCTTCATGACCACAATGGTTAGGACAAGGAATAATGGGCTTAATTAAATTGCAGACAGGTTGCACACTGAGAAAAATTCACTAGCAAGAAGAATATTATGATGCTGGAAAAGCATAGGATGGAATTTCTATCTTTCTGAACTTCTACCCAAAACAGTGTGACAGTATCTGCTCCCTCCTCACGACTGGAGGAACCACATGCCCTCAAAGTACTCTTCCCAAGCTGGTCCTGCTGCTGGTGCCTGCCACCAGTCCTAGGAGAGGCCAGTTCACACTACCGAGAATCAGTGCAAGCCAGGGTGCTTCAGGGATAGGCATACCCAGGGCCTAAATCCCATCACCCCCACGGTACCCCCTTGTCCTCGTGGAATATTTTTTTAGAGGAGTGAAAAACAGATCTTGCCACAGAGTGCATTTCCTCTGTAATTTAGGCAACACCTCAGTGCACACTACTGAGCAGAGCTCAGGTCCTTTCTACTTAGCATAGAAAAGTGTTTTCAATTAAGGGGAAAGGAGTATTTAAAAACCAAAAAATGACCACAGTAGTATGGTGTAATGTGACCACAGTAATACTGACAAGGAGAGCATCATGTGAAGGCATCCAAAACAGCAGTAATTATTCCAGTAAATTTTGATCTCTAATCTGCAAGCTGCAACACAGCTAACACCAAATTATATTTTAACCTGTTACATTCCAAAGGTCTTTCCTGTCCACTTTTCTTCAAAACCAGAGATTTACTGTAAATAATTGTACCATTGGATACAGCAGTTAAAGCATGAGAACTACAAACTACTATACAGTACTGGAAACAACCCCTTCTTTTATTACTTCTAGAAGAAACACCAATGGCTGAAGACAAAGGAGAAAAAATCTTCACAATTCATTTTTAATATGTAATTTGAAACGGCCAATTGAATTAAACAGGAACTTGGAGTTAGGGCCAGTACAGAACATTCTCAAAGAGTTTCATATGGAAAATGCTGAACAGAAAATTGAACAACTGCAGAAGAATGTACTAATTTTCTCAAAATATGAGAAAAACACCAGAGCCCTTCATTTTTACTTTGAAGTTCTTTCTTTTTTCATGTATAACCTGTTTGAAATGACAATATAATTTATTCAGCATTTCCAATAGCATTTTTTTTTCCTCTCCAGAATTTTTATTCCATGGAAAAGTACATTCTGACTCACAGTGAAAAGACATTTTTGAATATAAAATTTTCCCAAGAAATGTAAACTGCATTTTAATCACTAGCACCGGTAAAGAAATAGAAAAGGTTTTCGCACTGAATAGCTTAAATTAATGTCAGATACTGACAACATAAGCAAAAGCACTTAACAGTCAAATTTTTAGAAAAATAACTTTTTCAAATAAGAGAAATCTTGCCGAATAAGACAATCTGGGTTTGCAATCTTTTTGTTTAAATGCAAAAGCAATCCACTCTCTAGATCCCTGCTAATAACAGCATTTAACTGTGAATCATGTGCAACGTGTTTCAAGATAGAGTTTCTGTCACCGAGCTCCAGTGATTTATTTCTGCAGTTGCCACAGGGATCTAAGCTCAAGACCCAGAAGCAGCAAAATGCAATAGATCAGAGCATGTCGCAACCTTACCAAATAACATTAATCCAAAATAGGGCGGGGTGAGAAAAGATTCCTGTCCAGCCAGAATCTGGGAACAGATAGTTCAGAAGCTGTGAACGTGCACAGCTTCTCCTGCACCTTACAAAAACCAACAGAAAGATGATTAAAGCTTTGCTTGATGAGGGGAGCAGAAATGCAGTGATGAGGAATATAATTTGCAGGAACTAAACGGTCCTGCTGCCTTTCAGCATGTTCATGTCCAAGATGAAAGAACTGACATCCACCAGCTCTGAGGATTATAGTCTTCTCCCTTCTTCACAATGAAAAACTAGTGCCTGAGCAAAATGTGGGGGTGCAAGGGAAACTGGGAACAGCAGGCAACAGCAAGAACTGGCAAGGCGACTCTTGCAAGGACTAACGCTTATCTATATCACAGCACTAGATGGGCAGTCGTGTTATACCACTGCGCTGCACACTATTGAAATGGGAAATAACCCACACATCAGATACCACTTACTTAGAGTGTTAACTGAAAAGCACAAAGAGAAAAAGTGAAATCAGCATTCCCCTCCAAAAGCTCAATAAATCCACCAGAATTCAGTACATTAGAGACAGACACAGAGAAATACCTCAACGAACAAGCTGTAATTAACCTTCCCAAGAGCGAGAGTACAATTTACTTTCAGTTGAGCATTTCCAAGGTGAATGGATGGTTTGCAGGGCTCTCCACAGGATATAAAGATTTCCCTTCACATGGCACTTGCTCTCAGTGACAACTGTGCATGAGCTATTACCATCCAATCACACTTTGGTCATCCACACTCAAGTGAAAAAGCATCTGTTTTCACACGCACAAAAAGCCAGCAGCACTTTTTAAGGTGAGACCTCCTTAGTCTCAGCTGCAGACAGGCTAGGAATGGAAATTGTGAGACCCCTCCCTCATACCCCCAAAAGCAGTCTGCCCTTAAGGATCAGAACATGCACAGGGGCAGCAACTGTACCATCTGCTAGCCAAGTCCTTAATACGAGCTGGAAATATAAAACCCTTGGGAGTGCAGTGTGGTTTAAAGAAACAAGGTTTGGGAAGTACTTTAAGAGCCACCAATAGAAGATGCTTGAAGCATCAACTGCAAAAGTACATTAACATAGATACTAGTACAATTTGAAAGTCTCCTGTCATTGCTGAAATACTTACTGCAACTCTTAATCGCAAATTCCCCTGACTCATTATGCTTCTCCCAGTTCCTGAATTTCTATACTTAAGCTCATAAATTAATGCAAGCAATTTGAATGCAGACAATACAGGAAAGCATTGTGGGCTTTTTACAGTTGTTGACTCACACTTCTGCCTGTGCTCCCTGCCCAAGTAACAATTTAAGCGAAGAATTCAGTTTTAAAATGGGTCAGCAATAGAAAGATTTTTCTTACCTCTCAATCTAAAAATAAGTTATCTAAAGTCACCAGTTGGAATCAAGACTTACCTCACAGATCATTTTCTGAATGAAGATAAGAAGAAAAAAAATTCTTTTTAATCCAAAATTCCATATTTTTCAGCAGACGTCAATATCCAGCCCTCACAAGTTCTGCCACTGAAAATAAAATCCAAGAACAACTTTTATACTTGATCCCCTTTCCTTTGTTTCCTATGAACTGCAGCATGTTAGCGCCCTCTGAAAAATCAAAGAATTGCTTTCCCAGGTGATATGAAAGGCTGTTAACCATTTCCTGCCTGTGCCAGCAAGACTCCTCCCAACTTCTCTCCACTCTAATTCAAGCAATAAGGCACTAAAATAAGAGAAGCCCATGAATCTTGACTTGGATATCTCTAAGAACTGATAATGAACTTCCAAATAACTCCTTTGATAGCATTTGATCAAACTATTTCAACAGTATCTCCAGCCATACAAAGAATAGCCTGTTCTCACCATACCCAGCCACCTTAAAAAGGGAAGCTGCACAGTGTTGTCCTACTAAGTAAATACGATTCCCTACCTTCCCTCTTCCTGTGGTGAGAGATGATGGGACAATAATGCCTAAAGAGAACAAGCCTGAAAACTGGGCAGCAGCCAAAATACTTGCCAGCAAAAAAAGATAAATGAACACATTTAAATAAAAAAAGGGATGGCCTCAGCCTGAAGTCACACAGAGACCACAAGCTCCATAAGCTGCCAGGAGCACGTTACCTTAAAGGCAATGGCAAAGTCAAGACTTTTTTTGCCATTATTCATTTTATAAGTTGGGGGTTTTTTTAATCCTCCATTTTAGATACAGATTTACAGAAACTGAATTTCTACCGGGGTATGGATAAGCAAGGACAACAGGCCAGCTCTCACTTCATACATGTTACAATTATTCCAGATTTACATGGGAAACCTTCAAGATTTACCTCATTTACGTAACTTAACAGCAGGTGTAAGAGCACAAAACTACTTCCTGTGGAAAGAGACCTCAGTGCCACGCAGCCACAAAGAGACTGCACTGACAGCTTCATCTCCTGAAATTCAGAGTGTAAAAAGGCACCTCAGCTCTCACAACTCTGCCTCCTCACCTCCTTCCAGCGCCTCCAGACCGAGGCCTGCTGCAGATTGTGTCCAGCCCCACAGCACAACACATTGCTGCTGAATGTGGCACCCAGATCAGTTATTTATACTAAAAGTCAGGCTAGATTCAGCTGTGTGAGCCTGCAGAGGCCAGAGGTAGGGCAGGTCTCCCCACAGACAGTGGCACCCTGAGAAAACAGGGCCCATGCCCAGCATCTGCTCCCCAATCTCCCCTGGCTGCAGGCCCAGGCAGGGCCCCCTACCCCCCTCAGCCTGGGAGAAAAAGAAAACCTCATTTCGATCAGCTTTAGCCTCTTACTGCACACTGAGGCAGCCTCAGGGGCAGCACACAAACACCGCACTACCTCAACAACCCCCCTCACGCGCTTCTGGAGAGGTGAGGGTGGCTGCCTGCGCCTTTAAATCCTCCCTTTAAACCCCCCCAGGAGCCCCCTCCCTCCCCCGCCGTTGGCTCCGCCCCGCTGCCGCGCGGCTCTTCCGGCTTCGGCTCTGCCCCTTCCGCCTCCTTTTCTTTAAGGCCCCTGAGACGCGGCGGCGGGAGCGTTGGCGGTGGGGGGGGGGGGGGGGGGGGCGGGGGGGGGCGGGGTGGGGGGCTGGGGGGGGGCCGCGGGGGGGGGGGGGTGTGGGGGGGCGGCGGCCAGTCTGGGCGTGGGGCGCTCCCTGGGCTGGAGCTGCTCTCTGGGAGGCCCAGCGCCTGCGGAACAGGGCCTCCCCCCTCAGCCCTGCTGGCAGGGAGGTTGCTGAGGCTGGGCCTGGTGTGGAGGGATATGGAGACCGGGGGTGGGGGGGTAAGGCTCTAAATCTGTTTGAACTTACTCTTTTATCCTCTTCTTCCGCGTGAGATATACCTAGCCTGGCTCCTGTCTTCCTGGTAGCTCCTTCGTGCTTTGTGGGTGTTGCTTATTTTGTACACCTTTGCCTCTCCCCGGCCTGGTCACTGTGTGGCTGTGGTGGTTAGCCCTGTTTTACAGAAGGAGGGCCTCTCACACTGACTCCCTCCTCCAGGCTTGTGGGTCACACAGCTGAGTCAAGGATGGTAACAGCAACCCTGAGCATTGCGGCTTGAAGCATTTCATCTTATGGATGTGTCTATGTATCCCTAAATTTTTCTTTTGATGTGTTGCAACATCAAAGCAAGTGTGACTTAGTGTTACAAAATGTGTAGATGGAGAATTCAACAGGTGTCAGTTGTGCTTAACAGTACATAGCTGGGTGGGAGAGAAAAAGGTCATTAGTCTTCAGCAGTTTTAATATTGGTTCAAGTCTTCTAATGTTTAGCTATCTGTTTTGCCTGTGACTCTTGCAGGGGTGGTATAGAAGGCTCTCCCTGTTTAAACAAAACAAATAGGGTAATGGAGTATAATTACTTACAAGAAAGAACTAATTCAAAAGTGATTAAACTTACTGTCAGTCAGACAACTCTCTGATATGTCATTTGTGCTTTGAGAAGCTTATTACCTTTCTTCAGTTTCATCAGCTCAGCTAACAATGAGATACACAGAAGCAAATTACTTTCTGACTAGAAGTTATAGGCTGCTCCCTGTTTGGGTTAACTCTGGTCGTATACAGATGTGATTAACTATTCATCAAAAACAGCTGCTGGCATATGAGTTAAATTCATAATAATTTCCACAGCTACACATTTCTGTATTGTGTATGTGACAACTGGTATGATTCAAAGGAATTTTGTGGACCCTGTGGGATAAGGGCTCATCCTCACGCTATTATGTCCATTTTTACTGCCATCCTGAAGTAATTTTCCCTGGTAATGGGGTCATATTCATATCCCTTCTTACATTGTAAAACAAGGCTGAGGTGCAATATATGGAGTTTTGAACTGCTTGCATCTACCCTGTTTTTCCAACAAAATGACCGAATTAAACTGTTAAGTCTGAAATGGAAATTGTAATTTCAGTATTGAGCAGAAACTGGTTATGTTTTTTTGTTAAAATAACATGTCTGCTTGCTTGTTGCCAGGCACTGGATGACCATAACTAAACAATGTCTGTACCACGTGGAGCTGTCCATGCAAAATGGATAGTAGGGAAAGTAATAGGAACCAAAATGCAGAAAACTGCCAAAGTGAGAGTGACAAGGCTTGTGCTAGATCCTTACTTACTGAAGGTAAAAGCTGGTTAACAACTTGTCTTGCATGGTAATTTTTGTACTGTGTGGAGGAATGTTTTATTGATTTGACTCTTAGAATTTTTGATAGCTCTTTACAATGCAAACTCCTTAAGGAACTTGCATAATGATTTGGCTGTGGGGATGACTGCAAAGGATGAAAAGCAGTGTGTTGTGATGATACTTTCATACAGATTATCTGCTAAATATATTTCTTTGAAGTGTTTTGTTAATGTACTCCATTTGATCTCAGTTGAGAAGGTAAGTTTTTCTTGTTTCACACTTAGATTTAATTTTTCATATTGGAGTATGCTTTGTTTTGGAAACTTGATATTATATGGAACACTTTTACAATAAATTTTGTAGCAGTTTTTCTGTATGCATAATTGTAAGTATACTTAGTATTTGAATCTGTACTGTGATGTGCTATACGAGCTTTGTATTTATCACTTCTTGTCAATGCATTTCAAACAGGGGTTAAAATTAGTATTTTCTCCATTTTTAAATGGGGAAACTGGTACATGTAGGTGGAATAACTTGGTGACCAGAAGGTTAAGGATAGAGTCAGGATTAGATAATGGATCTTGCGGATCCCAGTCCAATACTTTATCCAGTAGAAGAACCTGTTAATTTCTTTCTTAAAAGAAAGATTCTGAATTCTGCTGTTTCAATAAGAATAAATGTTGAATTTTTATATGAAAGAAAACTAATTGAGCAAGAAAACTCAAATGACAAACTTCAAAATACTGATTTCAGGGCTAATGAACTTTAGACATATTAGGATGAATAAGAATTCATATCAGTTCTTGAAGTGTGGACTGCACAGAAAGGTCATTCAGCTTGGAAGAGCCAAGGCAGCTGTCTTGCTGAAGCAGTGTTGATGTGAAGCATCTTGAGAGGAAAGGCTAACACAGCAGAACTAGAGAGCAGAGAGGCCAGTGGAAGGTGGTGATGCTAGGAAAGGGAATCTATGTTAAGTGAAGAGCTTGTTGTTTTTACCTGTTATCCACATGTTCACTATGAACAGCTTTTTGTACTTGGCTTTTTCTTCCCCATCTCCCTTTCTACAGGCTTGGTTGGCAACAACATCCTGACCAGAGAGATTGTCAGGGAAGGGTAGTGCTGGGCTTCTTTGGAAAAACAGCAGAGTGCACAGTTGCATTTCTCTTCATGTTCCAAACTGAATCTCATTAAAAAAAGACTTACTTCTCCTTAGTTAAATTTAGTTTGTTTCATATTAACTATATATTTGCCAATTGCTTAATTTTGAAATCTAATGCCAAGGTTTCCTTTTTTCCTTCTACAGTTCTTTAACAAACGAAAAACTTATTTTGCCCATGATCCATTGCAGCAGTGTGTTGTTGGAGACATTGTTCTTCTGAAAGCTTTGCCTGAGCGAAGGAGCAAACATGTGAAACACGAACTGGCTGAAATTGTTTTCAAGGTTGGAAATGTCATAGATCCAATAACAGGAAAGCCCTGTGCAGGAACCAGATTCCTTGAAAATCTGTCAGATTCAGAAAATCTGACAGAGGCAGATACTACCTATCTAAGTGAAAAACTTCAGGAACTTAAAGTTTGTTCAACAGACAAATAGAGGGGAAAATATTTAAACAGAGGACTTTTCAGCTTGTCTCTGTCAGGGATGTTTGGGGCCCTGCTGTTGTATGTTAAATGTTTCAGTGAAATCTGTAGTCAAAGTAAATAGTAAACATAGTTGCTTATAAAAACAGGTGTTACAGGTTGATAGGTGCCTCAAATCTTTAAATGAAGATACAGAGAAAATGTGAGTTTAGTGTTCACACTTCATTTTGTTGCATGTAGTTTTGCACCAAGCCTTGATAGTTTCAAAAGCCAGCTGCTCACTTGGAATGACTCTTCTGTATTGAAAAAGACAAGAATATAACTGTATAATGTTTAAGTTTGATGGGAAGGTCATTATATTTTATCTGTATTTCAGACAGTCTTGTGTGGTTTGTAGGATTACTTAAGATAATGCTATTAAACCTCTTGAAAGGAAGTGTAGAATTTTAAAACCAGCTACCTGCATGTGTCCTTATTTCCTCTTACTGCAATGTGGTATGAGTGACTATCTTCTAACTTCCAAAATCTAACAAAAACACAGCCACTTGCCTTTATAATGGCAGTAAGGTAAGAATAAAAACTTTGGGTAGCTTAGCATGGTTGCCTTTGTAACCTGTCCAAAGGCAATGTGGTATGAGTGACTATCTTCTAACTTCCAAAATCTAACAAAACCCCAGCCACTTGCCTTTATAATGGCAGTAAGGTAAGAATAAAAACTTTGGGTAGCTTAGCATGGTTGCCTTTGTAACCTGTCCAAAGGAAGTATTTAGTTCTGGGAAAGATGGATCTCTTTGAACTGCCAGAAGGAAATAAAGCTGATGAGAATACAAAGCCAAAAAAGTAGAAGTAAAGATGGTTAGATTTAGTCTCATCAGAAATGCTAATTAAAACAACACATTTTGGGAAAGATACAGGTACTGATTTGCTGCATACTTTAATATGAAACTAGAAGGCCATATAGCAGTTAATGATTAAGCATCACTTTATCCTGCTGCAGCTCTGGGGATCTTGTGTCCTGTCTTCCAGGACATGAGGCAAACTAAGGGTGTGCAGCTGTTACAGCAGCCTTGTGTTGCTGACTCTTCATTCTGATCTAAAGGGGCATCTGCCTCAAAACCCAGCATCTGTGGGGACAGTATTCCATGTCCCTGTATGGAGGGGCGAGTGGTATATTAAAGCTATGAGAAATCCTTTTTGAGGTGTCCATTTATGTCATTGGTCTTTGTTTAAGATCAGAAGCTAAACAAGGTGTATCTGAATGGAGTTCCTCTGACCTAAAATATCTTGCTTTAAGAAACTGAGCCAGCTTACAATAGTAAGCTCTCAGTTGTGCTCTCTTCCATTGTCAGAGTGGTGTAAGTCATTTGCCCTTTTAACTTCCTTCACCTGCACAAAGTCAGTTTCAGCTGCCTGCAAACTGCTAACAAAGTCCAGTTGAACTCCGCAGATTATTTGGGCCAGGAAGAATGAGAAACTTAAATTTTCTTTAGTGCTTCAAACCGGAAAATACTGCTCTTTGAATGCTAGTCCTCAAGTACTGTCCTGCATGTCAGATCAATAAGCCAGGTTGTCAAGACACCTTGATTCAAATGTCTCTGTAAATCAATAATGTGAACATGGTCTCTGACTTTGAGGAAGTGTCTTAAACATATGGCTGTAGGTTATTCTTGTTGGTATGTTTGAAGTGGTTTAGGTTTATGTAAATGACTTAGTAACTGTAGCTGGCTGGTTAAGTCCCTCATCGAAGTGGAAGGAAACCTGGGCTCTGACTCCTGCTCGAGTGAATGTAAAATGTGAAACTTCATCCCTAGCAGAGATTAAGAGAAATCAGACCCGGGCCAGAACATGGCCCTGGGCTGTAGGAAATACATGTAAGTTGTGTCCAAGCAGGCAGTAAAGGAACTTGACTCTCAGTACTTGTGATATGAGTGTTCTAATAACTAGACATAAAATGTTTGTAAGAAACAGAAAAAGCTTCCTGTTTGGTTCATGAGTTGCATCTACATCTAATCGGGGAAGTAAATCTTCTTTCCTGATATTTCCTGTGATTTTTCTTGAGTAGGTGTGAAAATATGATTTTTTTTCCTAAGATTGATTCATCACAGCAGGTTGTCAGTTTTTTTCAGTTTACAGGTAGGCTTTTGAGGGTTGCTTGAGAACTCAGCATGTTGTCAGATCAAAATGTGATTAAATGTACATAATCTGAAGTGTAACTTGGTTTTGAAAGAATGAGGCAATTGTAGGTTAAACTGGTTTATAAAGAGGCACCACAAACATTGTACTTTACTGATGTTAAAGCACGCTGCATGTGCTAGCCTCTGACTTACTTTCGCAGAGTGCTGATAGAAAAATCATAAAATGGCAATGGATGAAAGTGAAATGATAAAGCTTTATATGTGCTATGTAGAAAGACAAGGTTTGCTCATTAACTTGTTTTCTGTGTTTACTGGCTAGTTGCTTTTAGAACTGTCCTTTAACTATTAGCCTAATTGTAAGTTTATTCTTAATTTAAAGTCATTTAAGGATTTGATGCTAGTACACACCACCAGTTTAGCCAAATTAAATACTACTGTAGCTGAACAGTGTGAAGAGAACACTGCAACTATCTGTGGGTGGAAAATTTATTTGGGGAATAAGAAACAAGTTTTTGCACGCGATTCAAAAAATGTGTTCTTAGTGGTTTTTCAGGCGAGACCCTAAACTAGGGCTGGGGTCACCCCAAAAGCTGAGCAGCCAGGGGACGGAGGGGGATTCCTGGGCTGCGGCAGTCCGCGCATGCGCACCTGTGGCTTTCCCCCCTCCTGGGGGCGTGGCCGGAGGACCACCGCCCC